TATTATCATATGTGGTGGGAGTGTAAATGGACTCAGAAATTTTGGAAACTGATTTCTAAGGAAATATGTGATATATTTGGAAAAGATATTGAATTTAATTCTAAAATTGCTTTGTTGCCATTTTTTTGATAAGCTAGAACTTGATTATTGTTCAAAGCAATTGATTTCCAATTCATGACAAGTGCTAGAATACTAATAGCTATATTCTGGAAAGATAAAAATGATATTAAATTAGAAGATTGGTATAATGAAGTATGGGACATTGCATTAAATGATAAATTGACTACTGAACTTAAGATGAAAAGAGGGGAAATAAGTTCAAATATTTTTATGCTATTTGGGGTAGATTTGTTGAGTTTGTATTAGAGAAAGGAAAGAGGAAAGGCTCTAAACAACAATCAATTCAGTTTTGGAAATGAAGTTCGTATTAAAAGTATTGCTCCAAGGGGTCCCATGGGTATGGGATGCCCAGTGGTTTAGAATGTATAGTAAGTATTTTATATTTGTTTTCGTTTTTAAGAGGAAAGGCTCTAAACAACAATCAATTCAGTTTTGGAAATGAAGTTCGTATTAAAAGTATTGTTCCCAGGGGTCCCATGGGTATGGGGTGCCCAGTGGTTTAGAATGTATAGCAAGTATTTTATATTTATTTTTGTTTTGAAAATTTAAAAAATAATTTAGAAAAGGATGAAAAAAATACCTATACTGAAAAACTACCCAACACATAATTAAATGTGGACAGGTTGCTCTTTTAATACGTTTTTAGGACTCTGATGCACAGTGTACACAGAACCCTTACTGGCAATACAGCAGTAAACAAATTGATTTTTTTTACTCTAGCTTAACGCAGTGGTCCCCAACCTTGGGCCTCCAGATGTTCTTTGACTACAGTTCCCAGAAGCCTTCACCACCACCTCTGCTGGCCAGGATTTCTGGGAGTTGAAGTCCATGAACATCTGGAGGCCCAACGTTGGGGACCACTGAGCTTAAGGACACATGAGTTGACGCAATTCCATAATAAATGCAACTAGAGGCCTGGCAAGTGGGACAGTTGTTATTCCACTATTTATTTCTCTTTTTCTGGCATGCTAACAGGCTAATTCTCTTCCCACTATTTATTTCTCTTTTTCTGGCATGCTACCAGGCTAATTCTCTTCCCAATAGTTGCTCAAACAGCTTCCTAACGTAGCAGAAAGAGTCATCATATGCACAGATCTTTGTGGAGTACAGGTAACTCAAATATCCATTGCACATGACCTAACTTTGTAAACTCAACAAATACTTATGTTCTGAGATAATGGTGAATCTTGTAATGGAGAAATTGATATTGGCACATCAAACCTTTAGCTTATTTTATGCTTCAACTGTTTACAGGGAAAATGATTAAAAGTTGTTGCAAGGCTCCATTCACATTCCCTGGAGTAATGGCACACTCAAAATCCTATGCAGGCAGAAAGTGACACTTAGGAATATCCAAGTTTTGGTCAATGAAATACATCCCAATACATGAATCGTTCCCACATAATGTAGCACATAGAACTTTTAAGCAGAACACCTTCTCCTTAAAAAAGACAGAGCCAAAGAGATATTAAAGGCTATGGATGAGATAAAAATAACTGGAAACACTAACCAGTTCCTTCCACATAGACCATGGTGCCCTCTGAGCGCTTGCGGGTCATTGCATACCAAGTACCATCAGGGTCCTGAATCCACTCAGCTGCCTCACAGTAAAACTCGCCCTCATCTGAAGATTGCAGATTGTAGATTGTAAGCTTGGACTGAGTCTCGCCTATTTTATCCAGGCGGACATCTCCACTTGCATGCCGCTGGGTGTAGTCAATTCCTGCACGCAGTACGAAATCACGACTGAGGGAAATCACTTCTGTCGCAGGCTCATCCGCTTTCCGTCGGTACCAGGCAATGGAAATGTGACTGTGCTGTGCAGTGCTCTTGGATATTTCACATTTCAGCTCCAGAGAATCATGTTGCACTTTGTTCAAAGTTTGGCCTTCTGAAGTCACTCGCAAAGAATCAGAAATAACTGCAGGAGAGAGATGAGAAAAGTTTCAGTTCTGGTGCTTATGACGTGCTAGACAATCTCTGAACAGAGCAAAACAAACAAAACAAAAGAGATTTTGAGAAGCAATGAGAAAAGATTTTTGCTTTCAGTACTATAGAGGGAAAGACCTTGAACATGACCTTATCACACGGGAAAAGAATCTACTGTATTTCCATCATAGGTTGAAGACCTGGCTTCAGGATCCATCAAATCCACTAATGGGAATCTGAGTAAGCAAGAGAAAGGTTTCTGCCAAAGGTTCTGAAGATCTGATATCATTGGGCTAGACAAGATAGCCACCAAAACTCAGTGGCTAAGATCTTGTTGCTTAGTATAGTAAGATACACTAAAACAGCCCAATGAATCAGTGGAGATTTAGTGGCTGAAGTATTCTACACATTGATAAGCCTACTCTAGTTGTCATTTTTATTGTTGTTTCAGCCAATAAAACTTATAAACGAGCTGCCATACCAAATCTTCACTGATTCAAACGTGCAACTTACTCTTCTAAACAACAGGATTTCAATCTTTCAGACAACAATGAATTTTCAAAAGAGCTCCTTCAAAGTTGATAGCTATTGTTTTGTCAGCACCATTTACTTTAGCTTACTGCCCGGAATCTCAAATCTATAGACCTTCCACAGTCTGCCTAATCAGTGGAGATTTAGTGGCTGAAGTATTTTACACATTGATTCAAATAAGCCTACTCTAGTTGTCATTTTTATTGTTGTTTCAGCCAATAAAACTTATAAACGAGCTGCCATACCAAATCTTCACTGATTCAAACGTGCAACTTACTCTTCTAAACAACAGGATTTCAATCTTTCAGACAACAATGAATTTTCAAAAGAGCTCCTTCAAAGTTGATAGCTATTGTTTTGTCAGCACCATTTACTTTAGCTTACTGCCCGGAATCTCAAACAGTATCTATAGACCTTCCACAGTCTGCCTGTGATGTTATGCTGGCTGGACATTGCAGCCCCAAGCATCGAGAGGATAATGAGTTGGGGAAGGCTAGCTAACCCTATATGGCGGTCTCTCATTTATCGCTATTGTTGTTGTTTAGTCGTTAAGTCGTGTCCGACTCTTCGTGACCACATGGACCAGAACACACCAGGCCTTCCTGTCCTCCACTGCCTCCCGGAGTTTGTTCAAATTCATGGTAGCTTCAATGACACTGTCCAACCATCTTGTCCTCTGTCGTCCCCTTCTCCTCTTGCCCTCACACTTTCCCAACATCAGGGTCCTTTCCAGGGAGATTTCTCTTCTCATAAGATAGACAAAGTATTGGAGCCTCAGCTTCAGGATATGTGCTTCCAGTGAGCACTCACGGTTGATTTCCTTCAAAATGGATAGGCTTGTTCTTTTTGCAGTCCAGGGTACTCTCAAGATTCTCCTCCAGCATCACAATTCAAAAGCATCAATTCTTCAGCAGTCAGCCTTCTTTAAGGTCCAGATCTCACTTCCATACATTGCTACTGGAAAAACCAAAGCTTTGACCATGCAGACCTTTATCAGAATGTGTGTGTGTGTGTGTGTGTGTCTGTCTGTCTGTCTCTCTCTCTCTCTCTCTCTCTCTCTCTGTGTGTAAATAAATAAGTCAGTCAGTCAGTCAGTAAGTCTGTAAGATGGGATGGTTGGCTAAGTTGGCCCATTGTAGCAAAAACAACTAAGAGTCTTGGTGCAGCCTCAAGACACCCAGTTGCTTCCTGTCCCACATATAGATTTCTCAGGAGATAGATAAGGTGATCAGGCACTCCCATTTCTTTAAGAACTTGCCATAGTTTGTTGTGGTCCACACAGTCAAAGGCTTTCGCATAGTCAATGAAGCAGAAGTAGATGTTTTTGTGGAATTCTCTGGCTTTCTCCATAATCCAGCGCATGGTAGCAATTCGGTCTCTAGTTCCTCTGCCCCTTCGAAATCCAGCTTGTACTTCTGGGAGTTCTCAGTCCACCTACTGCTGAAGACTTCCTTGTAGGATTTTGAGCATAACATTGGTAGCATGTGAAGTAAGTGCAATTGTACGATAGTTGGAGCACTCTTTGGCACTGCCCTTCTTTGGGATTGGGATGTAGACTGATCATTTCCAATCCTCTGGCCACTGCTGAGTTTTCCAAACTTGCTGGCATATGGAGTATAGCACCTTAACAGCATCATCTTTTAAGATTTTAAATAGTTCAACTGGAATGCCATCACCTCCACTGGCCTTGTTGTCAGCCATGCTTTCTACGGCCCTCTTGACTTCACTCTCCAGCATGTCTGACTCAAGGTCAGCAACCACACTCTCTGGGTTGTCCGGGACATCCAGATCTCTCTGGTATAATTCCTCTGTGTATTAC